ATGAGATCACATTCCTTAGCGGTGGCAGCCCTGTGTTGTGAAGGGCCACATCCTCCACAACTTCCTCCAACAGCCCAAGTCATTGGGGAAGCTGGCAGGAAATCGCCAGTGCCAGGTGGATGTCGAGCATCCTGGCAGGCAGGTTAAGTTACAGCTAGTCCTCGATTTACAGCCACAGCGGAGCCCAGCATTTTCTGGCATTTTTTTTCAGCGAGATTTTGCCCCATTTTCCGAGCCACTTGTCGTTAAGTGAATCTGGTTTCCCCATGGACATCGCTCATCGGAAGGTCGCCAAAAGCGGATCGCGTGACCCTGGGCACACTGCGACCGTCATTAAACATGAGTGTGCTGTCCAGCCAGTTATAGTTAATGGGAATTGGTATAGTTAGTTAGGAATTGGGAGCTGTCCCCTTAAGGGAATGCATCACGGTAAATGTAGTTAAGGCATCCTGGGAAATGTAGTTCATGTCATGTGGCCACATCTGTAATCCTGATTGGTCACTGAATTGACCCTTGGTTGGGTTGGGGGAGGTTTCTTCACTCTTGCTCTATCATTATTGGGGTGAGAAATTACCATTTTTTTACACCATAAAGTGCAGCTATGCAGAGAATTGGACATTCAGAAGAATCTCATCCTAACCGTGAGTTATGTGAGGATGCCCGATGAACCAATAAAAAGACTTTGTGTGGATGCTTTGTGAAGTTATTCCGTCTGCCTTATATTAAGAAGCAGAACAATGAGCAAGTTGCCAAAAGTCTTGACCACAGGGATGTTAGGTGGGGGGAAAAACGGCCGTAACTCGTGTTTTTTTTCCCCATGCCGTTGTAACTTCGGTCACTAAAGGAGCGGTTGTTAAGTTGAGGACGACCTGTGGCTGCTGGTCCCTGAACGAGAGGTCGCTACTTGGGGAATGCTTGCACCCCACAAGGGGATCCTCCTGCCTGGAGAGCCCCCCCTCTCCCCCCCGTGCTCCCCCCGGATCCTTACTTCTCGTGAAGGACCTCGTAGAGGCCGTGATCCAGCAAGACCAGCTGGGCTTTGCCATCCGGGCCCTTCTGCACCAGCACTGCAAGAGACGGACGGGGATGCGGGTGAGAAGCAGCCCAACAACAACTGGACCCGGAGGAACTCCCCCCCCCCCCCCCCCCCCCCCCCCCCCCCCCCCCCCCCCCCCGGAAGTGTCCTTGACGTTCTGACTGAGGCTTCCCCAAATCACCAAGGGCAAACTCCTCGTCCCAATAAAACCCCTTTTTTATTAGGCTAATGTGACATTCCTCTCATTCACGTCCAGCAAAGTCCCGGCAAACAGTCTTTTGAGAGAGTGGATTTACAACCACAGACCCTTATCAGGCTGGGAAGAGTTGCCAGGCCGAGAGCTTTCAAGCGCCACACTGGAGCAGACAATACTCGGCAAGGAGTCTCGGAGAGTCGCGGACAAATCTTCACACTAATGAAACGAACTAATTGTCTCCTGCAAACCCCTGCGGTGGGTCTGCCAGCGAAAAGTGAGCTTGGGAGGGCCACCCGCGGATCCTCCTAGGCTGCGTTTTCACTGGCAGGGGGCTGAGTTCTGATCGAGGCTCCCCAAGATCATGAAGCCGACTCCTCGTCCCGATAAAACCCCTTTTTATTCAGGTTAAAGGGAATTCCTCTCCAGCAAAGTCCCGGCAAACAGTCTTTCATGAGGTTTCTCAACTACAGACCTTGATCAGGCTGGGAGAGTTGCCAGGCTGATAGCTTCCAAATGCCACGCTGTAGCAGCAATGACTTGGCAAGAATGCAGGAACAGATCTTCCCCCTAATGAATTGGACTGTCTCCTGCAAACCCCACTCCTCTTTTGCTCCTCTTTTATTCCCTCTGGGAGGGGCCATTCACCATCCACCTGAGCCTTTACCCCCAAGTCGAACCTTGTTCCTTAACTGTTCCCTTCTTCTGGCAGCTCTGTGCATGCGCACCCTGGGAACAGGCTCCAGCTGTTCTTCTTCCTCACTGATTCTTCTGCCCCACTGATCTCCGACTCTAAAGGCAGCTGATAACAGTCGGACGGCCCTGGCCCCATCTCTGCCTCCGACGCAGAGCCCTCATCCGAGCCTTCCTCAGACTCCAGGACTGGCCCAGGTTCCTCCCCAACCTCCTCACTGTCCGAGTCTGCCACCAGCTCTGCTGGCCGCTGTCGGGCCAGAACACTTTAAACCCATCCTCCTTTGGGCCTGACTCTCCATCCGTCCGGGCTCTCCAGTCCGATTCCAGGCAAAACAGAGTGAGTTGCGTCTGTGCGAGATCTGCAGCCAGCTGCGTCTCCATCCCTTCCCTTTCCACCGTTCTGCCCCCAAACACAACTCTCTTTTCCTTCGATTCACACTCCGCTGCTCCTTTGGGGCTGACACCCCCCTCCCTGCCCCCAATTGGAGGTTCAGACAGTCGGGGGGGGGGGCGGTTGCAGTCATGAGGAATCTCACAATCTTCCTGGACAGAATGAAGGGGGTCCCTGGTGCTCCCTGGAGCTTTGGTGGTTTTCTTGTAGATGCTTCGTGACCCAACTAGAGGACACTGATGATGTTATCTAGCTCGGTAAGGAAACGTCTGCAAGAAAACGTTGCCACAAAGGGGTTGCCAGAAAGAAGAGGTGGGGGTGGGGGGGGTCAAGCTATTCTCCGAAGCCCCTGAGGGCAGGACGAGAAGCAACGGATGGGAACTAACCAAGGAGAGAAGGAGCAACCTGGAACGAAGGAGAAAATTCCTGATACCGTACTTGGAATCATTAACCACAACCATTTGTCTGAAATGGTGTAAGTTTTCCTGCCTGAGTAGAGGGGGGTTGGACTAGAAGACCTCTAAGGTCCCTTTCAACTTCTCTTCTGCATTCTGTTCTGTCCTGTCCTGTCTCCTCTCCTCTCCTTATCCTATCCTAATCCTATCCTATCCTAAATCTTATTCTAACCTATCCTCATCCTATCCTTAACCCATTAATGTCCTATTCTTATCCTATCCTTCTTATCCTATCCTTATCCTATCCTCATCCTATCCTTATCCTATTATTGTCCTATCCTTATCCTATCCTATCCTTATCCTTATTCTATCCGATCCTCATCCTATTATTGTCCTATCCTTATCCTATCCTTATCCTATCCTCATCCTATCCTTATCCTATTATTGTCCTATCCTCATCCTATCCTCATCCTATCATTATCCTATCCTCATCCTATCCTTATCCTATTATTGTCCTATCCTTATCCTATCCTTATCCTATTATTGTCCTATCCTTATCCTATCCTTCTTATCCTATTCTCATCCTATCCTTATCCTATTATTGGCCTATCCTTATCCTATCCTTATCCTATCCTCATCCTATTATTGGCCTATCCTCATCCTATCCTATCCTTAGGAAGTGAGTCCCTGCCTTCAGCCTGGCCCAGTTCGCACAAGCCTTTCTCCTCCCAGGGAGTCCCCAGATTGACACTCCAGCCCAGTGAGGTTCCTGCCAGCGGAGCCCATCCCCCAACCGGATCACCCCCCCCCCCCCCCCAGCTCCCCTCGGTCTCAGGGCCCCCACTGCTGAAGGCCACGGCTTTCCACGGAGCCTTCGGTGCTTCGTTTCCTTGGCTCAAAATATAAATGGGGCACAGGCTCAGCCCCTCCTGGGGGCGGCTGTGGGGGTCCCACATCAAACTGTAGATCACATTGTGGCTGGTTGTAGGCTGAAGGAATCTACCAGTCCAGGATCTGATATATTTTTTCTTCATATAAACGATACTGCACTTCGATGGACATTGATACCTGAATACAGATCTTTATAGCACTCATGTTTTATTGTGATTTTTTTAAAAATCAAAGTGAAATCTCTCTCTATAAAAGCGAAATACCCCTTCATGCATCATCACAAAAACTCCAGACCCCGTAAGGCCTACAAACTTGAAATTTCCTCTTGGCTTCTAGGGGCTCACTAAGAAAGGATTTTTACAAATGACCCTCAGAGCATTTAGAGTATTTCCTGTTTTATTATTATTATTATTAACAGGCTCGGATGCTAAGGAGTTCTACTCCCCCTCTCTGTCTGAGAAGAAATATCTTCCAAATGCAAAACACAAGCGGAGGAGTTTCCGTTTCAGTTTCACAGCAGCACCAAGCAGCTTTAGGGCAGAACAGTTGAGCTAAGCCCCGCCCAGGCTCCTTGCTGTCTCCTTCTTGCTCACACAGCAAATACTCTTCCAGTTTCCAAACAGCCCTCCACTCTGTCACACACTGACAAGGATGCTAGCCAGATGGATACCGATGGATGTTGGGAGGCAGAGGCAGAATTTCCCCCCTTTATTTTCCTCCCGAAAAACTAAGCCCGACCACATAGTTACATAGGAAAGGTATTGAGCTAGTAGTGTCAATATATATTGCAAGTCCCTGGATGTCACGACATAATAGTTGAACTAAAATCAATCAGTCCTCGGTTCTCGGCTGTGCCTCCTACCGTTTCCCGGGTGGGGATCCGCGTGGATGAATCCGGTGAAGAAGATCTGCTCGGCAAACATCTTGATCAGTTTCTCTGCTGGCTGGAGGGAGAAAAGGGTCTCAGGAAGGGGAGGAGGCAGGAAGAGCCTCCTTCTCCCTTGGCCAGCTGGGGGCTTCCCTGGGGCTCCCTGAGCCTGGTGGTTTCCTGGCAGGCGTTTCACGACCCAACTAGGGGACATCGTCAGTCCTAGAAGGGGGTGGGAGTGTGGAGAGGAGGAAGAGGAGGAGGAAGAGGAAGAAAAGGAGAAAGAGGAGGAGGAAGAGAAGGAAGAAGAGGAAGAGGAGGAGGAAGAGGGGGAGGAAGAGGAAGAGGAGGAGAAAGAGGAGGAGGAAGAGGAAGAGGAAGAGGAGGAGGAAGAGGAGGAGGAAGAGAAGGAAGAAGAGGAGGAGGAGGAGGAAGAGAAGTAGGAAAAAGAGGAAGAGGAGGAGGAGGAGGAAGAGAAGGAGGAAGGAGAGGAGGAGGCCTGTGGGGGTCCTTGGGGCTCTCTGAGCTTGGTGGTCTCCTTGCAGGCGTTTCATGACCCAACTAGGCAACCTCATCAGGGCCAGGCAGGAGAGAAGTGCCGCAAGCAGGACCCATCCGAGCCGATGACCCCCAACCCACCCAACCAGCCTCCCCGGGGCAGTCAGGACACATGATGCTCCCCCCCCCCCCCCGGGTTCCCCTGGCGACTCACGTCCTTGGGGCTCAGGCCTTGCCTCCGCAGCCCCTCCAGGTCGTTGATTTTGCAGGCCTCGTAGAAGTCGGCGGTCAGGACCCGCTAAGCCCAGGGAGGGAAGGAGAGGAGGTGAGACAAAAAGGGCCTGCGCACCAGCGCGCACCCCAGTTTCCATTACCGCAACTGGTCCCCACATCGGTGAATGCGGCCCCTGAGCCCCAGACCCCCAAACGGCAAAGCAACCTCACAGCCGTATAGAACGCAAGCAGGCCTTCACTTAATGGCCACTTGCTTAGTGTCCGGGATGAGCCGGCACGGAGACCCCACAGGCAGCTGGCAGGGTTCAAACCGCCCCTTCATTGCTCCAAATTTCACCAAATGCATTTCCCACATTTCTGGCAAGTCCCAGAGCAAAACGCATCCTCCTCCAGCAGCCTCTGGCTGCCAATAGTCCAGCCCAGCACGGTGAGCCCCAAGGCTCCTGGGCAGTAAATCCAGCAGGGCCAATCGAGGAGTTCCGGAAGCAAAGGGTCCAGTCCAGAAAGCAGGCAAGTGTCAAGTCATAAAATAGTCCTATGTGGCAGTTTGGAAACCAAAAGCGCATTCCATAAATGTTTTCAAAGATAGTAACTAGGTGATCGAAGTTTCTGCTGCAATTGGAGAGCATGATGGATGACTCTGGGCTATGGAGGTGTCTCGTTGGGAGAATATGATTTATGATACACCCAGGAGGTAGGGGAGGAAAACCAGGGTCAAGGGTGACAATGAATGATGGGCCTCAGAGTCGGCTAGCTGTCCAGGCTCTGGTAGTTCCCCCCCCCCCCCCGCCATTGAAATCATGAGCCTCCAGCTGGATTTTCAAAGCTTAAAGAAGATTTATTAGGAGTAAACATGCCAGCACTGCCTGGGTGTAGCTGACTCCGAGACACATCATTCATTGTCACCCTTGACCCTGGTTTTCCCTCCACCCCCTGGGTGTATCGTAACTTATATTCTCCAATGGGACACCTCCATAGCCCAGAGTCATCAATCAGGCTCTCCAGTTTTGCGTGGCAGAAACTTCAGTCACCTAGTTACTATATTTGAAACCATTTATGAAAGAGAGAGAGAGAGAGAGAGAGAGAGAGAGAGAGAGAGAGAGAGAATATGCTCCTGCATTCTTGCCTTCGAGTATTGCCTGCTACAGTGTGGCGTTTGAAAGATATAGCCCTGGCAACTCTCCCAGCCTGATAAAAGTTCTGTAGCTGTGAAATCACTCTTGAAAGACTCTTGGCCGAGACTTTGCTGGAGAGAATTCACTGTAATCTAAATAAAAGGTTTTTGTTTTTTTTATCAGGACGAGGAGTCGGCTTTGTGCTTTTGGGAAGCCTCAGTCACAACAGGGGGCGCCCTACCCACCTTGCTGCTTTTCTCCCAGTGCACACGAGGAACCACCACGAATCGAAAGTGCTTCAGCTCCTGGGCGCAACGCTCCCCGTTGTGGCCTTCGATCTCAAAGTCCAGTTCTTGGGCCAGGGTCCCCTTCAGGTCCTGGAAGGAGGAAAAGCGGGGAGTGGCAGGTCAGCCTGGCACCAGGCAAGGAGGACTTAGGGTGCCAAGCATGCTGGGTAAACACCCCCCCCCCCCAAGAGACCCCTAAGCAAAGCACAGAGGCGGCACCTCAACTTCCTGGCGCATTTTGCAAACCACCAAGAATCCTGGGCTTGTAGGGCAGACTTCCGGCAGCCCAATGGGCTTGGGGTTTGGAGGGCAGTGAGGAGAGGGGCTACTCTGCCAAGGGGTTGGGCTAGAAGACCTCCAAGGTCCCTTCCAGCCTTAGGAGCCTAGGATTCCTTTGGCAAAGGGGCATGCAGGTCTGCAGCGCGCAAGCAACTCAGGGAGAAACGTGGTGCGCACATTCAGGGCGGCAGGATGAATCGGGGTGTGATGATGTAAGAAGGACCTATTAAGGATGACACCTGCGAAATTGAGGAACCTAAGCAACGCCATATATTTGTCCGATTTCTGACCTATGCGACGATTACTGGAATAATTACTGGACTACGATATAACTATCAAAATAGGTTTGTGACGTTCTGTAGAAATGTCAACTTTTGGGGCTAGAACATGGAAATGTAATATTTTTGGCAATAATTATATGTGAGAAGATTTTGGGTCATCCTGACCTAAACAGAACTGATAATTGATCTATTGCAGGGGTGTCCAACCGTGACAACTTGAAGCCTGGCGGACTTCAAATCCCAGAATTCCCCAGCCAGCAAAGCTGGCTGGGGAATTCTGGGATTTGAAGTCCGCCAGGCTTCAAGTTGTCACGGTTGGACACCCCTGATCTATTGTATTAAGAAAAAACAAACCCAGATGTTCAAAACCGGAAGAAGCAGCCATGAGAACGGGGGTTTCCAAGGGATGAAATTGTGGGTGGTGTTAATGGAAAAGTACTAGAGAAACCTAGGGATTCACCAAGAGAAAAACAGGACAAGGAGACAGATGTTATGCTACAATAGCGGTGTTGCATAGCTGGATATGTAGCTTGGATAGACTGTGAACCCAAGAACGGGGCAGAGACTGTATCTCTGAACCTGTATATAAACCCCAGCCTTCATGGGAACCAGGTCTTCCGCCCAAGGACAGAATTCCTTCATCATAAAGCTCTTTATATATTGTTCCCGTGTGTCCTGAACGGTTGATTTTTTATCACACGGGGGTATCAGTTCCAGTGAGGCTTCACTTCACCTCCAAAGCCTTGGGGTCTTCTCCCCATAATCTCTTTAACGTGTCCACCGAGATCCCACCACCCTTCGACCGCTTCCACCGGAGTCCAATCTTTGCTGCAGGGGTACAGGGTGGGGAGGGGAGGGGAGATTTCCAGGATCCACTTGTTGGGGCCTGCCAGCAGCTGACGGAGCCGGCAGCAGGGTTGGACAGTGGTGAGGAGGTTGGGGAGGAACCTGGGCTGAGCCTGGAGGCTGAGGGAGATCCAGAGGAGGGCACTGCATCAGAGGCAGAGTTGGAGCCAGGGCAGGCTGGCAGTCAGCGGCTGCCTTCAGGTTCGGACAGCAGTGAGGCGGGGGAGCCTCTGGAACCGGTTCCTAGCCTCAGCATGCAGAGGGCTACCAGAAGAGAAGAACAACTGAGAAAGCAGGGTCGACCACACCTCGGAGATGATTGACTCCTCCCAGGGAACATAAAAAAAGGAGCGAACGGGATGTAAGCTTTTGCAGGAAGCAATTATTTCATCTGGTCGGTTGCAAAGTTCTGTTTGTCTCCATGTCAAATTTGGCCTTGCCCTGCGTCCGGCAATTCGTCCTCTGGCCGCATGCCAGTGCGATCAGGTGGCTATTTATCAACATCCCCCTGAAAGACTGTTTGGGAAGCCTGTCAAGCCCAAAATTTGACAAAGGCATAGCCATTTTATTTAGCCTTATTATATATATTCCTTTTTTCTTTCTTTCTCTTTGCTGGTTATGGGGGGGAAGGGTTTCGGGCTTGCCACATTCCTAAGGTGGGAGGAGTGGAGATAGAGTTGTTTAGGTTAGGTGGTTCTCCTTTCCGTGGGAACAAAAGCTGACCCTGCTGAGAACTGGAAGTGGAGATTAATGTCACCAGGCAAACGTTGATTTACTTCTATTGGGGAATGTGACTTTTTGGGGGTTGTTTCTAACTTCCAATATTATGTGGTGTAATTCTGGGTTGTGTAAGATCCGGAATTACAACAGACTTTGCCAATTGGATGCTTTACCTAAATAAAATAAATTATTATGGAAGATGGACTTTGCTCTTTTCTTTTTAAATGGATTTCATCCCTTGGAAACCTGACATGAACGTAATTCACAGCCGTGGAAATAAAAGAGGTTTTTTTTGCCAGGATTAAGGTTTTGTTTTATGCTTTCTAAGGAATCCTAGGTCAGAACACCAGTCTACTCTTCTTAAAACGGGGCGCACCTGGCGTGGACCCCCCAGGAAGCCGTTTGAGGGAGCAAGAAAGACATTAAAGGGGGATCCTTTTAAACCCAAAATTGGAAATGTGAAAATATTCCCCCCCATGACTTCATGGTTATAAAGAAGACTTTGGAACGCGCAGAGGTGGACAGGTTGTCAATGGAACTTAAAAACAAAGAGGAGACAGAATACTATGAGATTTGGAATTTATGGCACAGTTGGTTGGAAAGTAGACATGAAATGAACAGAAGAAAAATAAGTAAGAAGGTATGATGGAAGTTAATAATGTTCCTTGCAATTAGGTGTTATGTTTGTAATATATCAATTGGATGGAAATCTGTGTTATATATCCATGTAACAAATGTGAATGATTATGCATTCTGTATAACTTGAGAGAGGTCAAATTGAGTGAACACTGCCTGGCTCACATTGCAACAAGCAGAATTTTAATTGTGTAAATATGTTTAATAAAGTATTTTTCTAATAACAATAAAAAAGAGGGAGCAAGAAAGACACTGAAAGGGGATCCTTTTAAACCCATTCACACACACACACCCCAGCTTAACCTTGGCCCCTTAACCCTCAGTCCCTCCTTAGTTTAAAGAAATCAATAAAACGATGGAATTTTAAAAAGGTAGAAAGAGAAAACATTTTAATAAAATATTTCAGAAAAAAAATGGGATAATATATACAAATATTTCAATAAAATGGGATAATATATACAGGGAAAATATTAGTATACATATTAATAGAAAATGTAATTTAACAATAGAGTAGAATATAGGAATAAGAATAAGAATAGGAATAGAAAAGAAAAGAATAGGAATAGAATATAGGAATAGGAATAGGAATAGAATAATAGAATAGAATAGAATAGAATAGAATAGAATAGAATAGAATAGAATAGAATAGAATAGAAATAGAATATAGGAATAGAATATAGGAAAAGGAAAAGGAAAAGGAATAGGAATAGAATAGAATAGAATAGAATAGAATAGAATAGAATAGAATAGAATAGAATAGAATTCTTTATTGGCCAAGTGTGATTGGACACACAAGGAATTTGTCTAATTTAATAATATAATCCAAATAAGTCAAAACAGTAGATGGGAATCTACGATTAGGTCATTAAACTGTATTATTAATATTAATAGTGTGTTAAAAGTATATTATGAATTTAAAATAATGAAGGACTAGAAACTGTGTGGGATTTTGAGATACCACTCCTGGGACTGATATAATATTGTCAATATTTAGCGTTATTATTAACCTTACACATTTGGACTACTGAAGTTATGGTGGAACTACGAATAATTCTTAGACAATATTAAACAGTATTATTTAGGGACTATAAATACAAGGCGCAAAGAAACGTTATTATGTCTAAATGAATTGATGGGAAAGTGAGAAACGGAAAGAGATTAGTCCAATGGGAGCGGGACGATTAGAATATGACATATACCTATAAGTATCACTACTGTTTTTGTGGCTTAAAAAAGATTTGAACCAGGTAATGCATAAAATATGTATGTTTATATTGAAAATATAAAGCTTACTGGGGGGAGGGGTGGAAGGAACCCCCTCCCCAAAACATGATACCTGTAAGACCCAGCTGAAGCCAAAACTGGGGTGCATCTGCTCCACGATCCACAGCAGGAACTCCAGGGTGCGGATGTCCCCGTCAAATCGGTCCCTCAGGTCGATGTACTGCACCTGCACAGGTGGGGGGGGGCAGGAGAGGGTGACCCCCTAGGGATCGGGGGGTCCCCCAGAGGAGAGTTGTAGCTCGGAGCACCGGCAGTGCCTCCCCCAGCCTAGAGGAAAGGAGGAAGGCAACCTGCGGCCCTACAAAACCCCCAACATCACCAGCAGCAAGGGATGCTGGGAAGGGTCGCTCGGCCATTCCCACGCCCCTCTGATCCTTCAGGCTGACAGTCTGTAGAAACTCTCCGTCATCCAGGTGTTGTCCCAAAGGTGCTTTCCCCCCCTCCAAGAGACAACTGGACTTCCTGGCTTTTCTTTGAAGACGTTTCGCTTCTCCTCCAGGAAGCTTCTTCACCTCTGACTGGATGGTGGGGAAAGGAAGGATTTATATTCCTTGCAGACAGAGCTGGTCATTTGCATCCTTTGAGAGCAGTGGTCCCCAACCTTTTTTGTACCAGGGACCAGTTTCACGCAGAAACACTT